TTTCTCTCTCCCCCCCCCCCAACATATCTCTCAATTCTTTTTCATTGATCAGTCTCCCAGACACTGTACAGACCCACCAGCTAGCCTAGAATGCAGCCAGAGCTCCTCCTACTCAGCATGGCATCTGTTGATCCTGTCTGTAGCCCATCCAAGACGGGATGCCATACTCCACCAGAGCATACAGATGAAGAAGTATTCCATTCAGCAAATGCATTCTGCATAAACCAGCTGATACATTATACTCAGAGAGCCAGTGTGTAGTAGTAGTTGGAGGACTGGACTGCGACTCTGGAGTTTTGTTGTTGTTAACTGCCCTCAATCTCAATCCATGGTGACCCTATGGATGAGACATCACCAAGACCCTCTGTCCTTCCTGCTCTGCTTAATTCCTGGAACCCCTTAATACCTGTGACCTCCTTAATAAAGTCCATCCATCTGGCATGTGGCCTTCCTACTTCCCTCCACCTTTCCAACATTATTGTCTTTTCTAATGAGTCCTCCCTTTTCATGATGTGTCCAAAGTACAACAGCCTTGGTTTGGTCATCTTGGCTTCCAGGGAGGTTTCTGACAAGGGCTGAATTCCCCTCTCAGCCATGGAAAACCACTGGTGACCTTGGAAGACCCTGTGATAGGGTTGCCTTAGGGTTGCTATAAGCTGGAAATGACTTGAAGGCAGGGGTGTCATGTGGGGGGGGGCATGGTGTATGTGGACCACATCAGGTGACACCCTTAGGGGGGTGACACCACTGCTCCCCAAACCTCTGCCTTTTGACAGAAATGGGCTGTGATACTCACCTTCATCCCTTTAAAATGCTGAAGGCTCAGTGGGAAGAGAAAGGAGAGGCCCCAGGGTTTTTTTTTATTAAAAAATATATTTTAAAATTTAAATTTTAATTTTTTTAAAAAAATAAAAATTAATTTCTTAATTTTTTTATTCTTTTTATATTTTCAATAAAACATCACATTCCACCAAATGTTCACTTTAACTACATGAAAGAAAGTACATGTAAATACATTTAGGTTGTGTGTATGATATTGTAATTCAAAGCTATCATTTTAATTTTGCTACTTGTTATTGTCACAACTATTGCCATTAAGATGGGGGTTATATGGGAATTACAGTTCATGAGTAACATTAGTACAAAAACATTACTGCTGCTTGTTTGCAGTAAACAGTGCAAATTGCAGAGTTCTCTTCTAGCTTATTCTGCATTAGATGTATATCTGCCTACAACAGGGAAGACAAAGCAGCTACCTCCAAGATCGGGCCTAAATACCCTAGAGTCACTAGATTCTGTCTGATCTTGGAAGCTAAGTAGGATCAGCTTTGGTTAATATTTGGAGGGGAGACTACCAACCAATATCAGGTGCCTCAGGCTATATTTCAGAGGAAGAAACTGGCAAAACCTCTGAGCGTTCCCTGCCTAAGAAAACCCTTATGAAATTACTGGGGTCAACATAAGTTGGCAGGCAACTTGAAGGTACATGCACACACTCCTCCAAGATTCTTTACTGAGTGTGCAAGAACAGTAAAACAGATAGAAAAGAGAAGAGCAGACAATAAGCCGGACTCACCAACTATGCAAAGCCCAAGCAATGAAAAATGAAGCCATGCCTCATCAGACTCTGTGTGAGAGCAAGTGTGTGCATGTATATGTACCCGTATTTTCAGGCGTATAAGATGACCGGGCGTATAAGACGACCCACAACTTTTCCAGTTAAAATATAGAGTTTG